TTGCCAACAACACAGGATTTATGTGGGAAAATGCCAAACAATTTCGGGCAATGAATTTGTTTCTGGAGCACAGGTATTACGGAGAGTCTGTGCCCTTTGGCAAAGTTGATAAAAATTTAACCAAAATCGGCTATTTATCAATGGATCAGGTATGTATCATTTTGCAGATACACTGTGTACCACAAAAACCACACTATTTTTGTAAATAGCAATGTATAACAGTGTTGTATAAATTATTATTATGTAGGCTTTGGCCGATTTCGCAGACTTTATACAGTATATAAAGGCTACAATTCCGGGTGCCGTGAATAGTCCGGTTGTGGTTTTTGGTGGCAGTTATGGCGGCATGCTGGCCTCTGCGTTTAGACTCAAGTACCCGGGGCTTAGTGTGGGTGCCATAGCCGCCAGTGCGCCCATACTTGCGGTGCAAGGCCTAACCAAGAGCTGTTCCGGTTTCCCATTGGTTGAAACCAAAGACTTTACAGAATATTCTGCAAATTGTTCGCAAACAATCAAGAATTCGTGGACAGCCATCGAACGCATAGTCGGCACAGTCGACGGACGCAAGTGGTTGACCAACGAGTTTAAGTTATGCAAAGAGTTGGCCGCCGGTGAGGGGTATCGGGTGTCCCAATGGCTAGACACCGCGTGGGCCAATACTGCGATGGTTGACTACTCAAACGCCGCCACCTTTTTGTCCGATTTACCCGCGTATCCAATGCGCGAAATGTGCAAACAAATGACAAATCCGGGCGCCGATGACCGGGGGCTACTCAGTCAGGTGCATAAGGCGGCCAACATCTACTATAACTATACCGGGCATTCAAAATGCTGCGATTTGGTGGCCTCCACAGGACTCGTCGACATGACTGTCTGGGGCTTTCAGGTGAGTGTTATACTGCATTTTATGAATGGTATTTGTAATTACTTACGTTAATGAATTTATATTGTTTGCGATTACAGTCGTGCACTGATATAGTGCTGCCCTTCTGTGCCAACGGGAAGACTATGTTTGAACCGTTCGACTTCGACTTTAAGGCGTTTTCTGACCAATGCTTTGGTGAGTATGGCGTCCGTCCGGACCCTCGGAAAGCTATGATGCTTTGGGAGAACCGATCCCTTCGGAGCGCAACAAACTTGATATTTAGCAACGGTTTGCGCGACCCGTGGAGTAGTGGCGGAGTATTGGACTCACTGTCCGATTCGGTGATAGCGTTGACGATCAGTCACGGCTGTCATCACGAAGACCTCCGGCCCGCAGGCGTTAACGACACACAAAAGCTCATTAATGTCCGCAATCAAGAGAAACAATATATGAAACAATGGATTGAAGAGCATTACATCAAATTGAATTACTTTCCTAATGAATGGCTTAATTAATTATAAATAAACTGTTGTGCAAATATATGTTTTGATTTAAACAATTTATTTAACAGTAGCTACACGTCAATTGTTTTTATACACATGTATTAAATGTTATTTTAAATAATGTTATTTTCAATGAAATATTAAAAAAATTAATTAATCTCAAAGAATTAGCTCTCTCTCTCTCTCTCTCTCTCTCTCTCTC